AAACCCAAATTTTCTTCGTATATAAGTAACATAGTCGATCGCTACAGCAAAAACAACTTTGCTTAATCGGCAATACCACCACACAATGCGATATGGGATTCACAAATTGAGCAGAAGAGATAGAAGAGGTCCTTCTCGGGTTGGGTCGTCCTTCCCCACATTTAAGGCCATATCAATGCGCAAATTCTGTACACAGTATATACGTGTCCCATTTTCGCGCCTCATATGTGTGCTGCAGCTCCACACATGGACAGGTCTCATCTCAACAGATGACATATGCTTAATCCTCGGAAACTAGGAGGTACAGGCGACTAAAGCATACATCTCAAAAGAGCTCCACTATTCAGACAATCACCTCAGCTGTCGCCTTGGTTTCGGATACTCCGGCGGTGCTTTATTAAAGGCACATCACTTTAGATGCGATTATTCCACCTTTATAATTAGCTTCGATACACACCATCATTTCCGAACGAAGGATGCATAGCCCTATAAATCTTCAATTCACTAAAAAAGGCCTTAATCCCCATCTTCTCTTTTGGCCGGTCAAGGGACTACGATACAAATGTTAGCGTTAGCAGGTTACTAAATTATAGTGAAGAAAACTGACGCAATAATCTAATAGAATTTATTCCATATTTGAGGTCATAGGGGCTTGGCAATGAAAAAGGCCTGGTTCAAATTAATAATATTCCATATCTGGACAAGAAGTCTACAGGTAAGGTTAAGCATATTCCCATGACCTAGTTAAAGTAAAGGCAAATTTGTAAAAAGTTCAACCTGACGTAAATAAGACCTAACGCACAAAGAAATGCGATTTAATTACACGAAAAATAAGAGTACAAGGAAAAGTTTGTAGGGAGATAAGGCGAAGAAATAAAGTCACAAGCAACCTAATTAGTGATACGAATATTTACTGTATTCGAAGGTAGTATCAGTCGCAGTGACGAAAAGATTTCAAATACAAGCAGCGACAGGAATAATAGCAACATCAGTAGCATCTAAAATCCAATACGACGTGAATTTGGTCCAGCCATATATTTTGCATTAAGGCTCCGATCCAAATTAGCCTGGGATTAAGAATATCAGAGACACCACAAATGAGCTTGGTCTGATAGCTATCCATCATTTCAGCAAAATGAAAAAAAATTATTTTTACCCAAGCCAGTATTTTATAGCTTTAACTTTATACCGATTTGGGATCTGGGGGAAAAATATTGAAAAGGATACTTAATTTCAGAAATGAATTTTTTTTCATGCATCTCAAAGCTAGACCACATTTACACTATCATTGTTTCGTCAGCACCTCTAGAGGGATTTGAACCATGCCGGGCAAGTGAGCATCTAAGTTGCACGACCATGGCTCAATTGTGTAATGCTATAAACATGTTGCTTAAGACATCTTGGGCACACTAGCCAAAGTTATTCAAGTAAACAACCAACAAAA